GTTTCTCTCCCATCCACTGCCTCTCCTCCAGGCCATAGCAGCAGCGGCGTGGTACATGGCGGAGGGCCCTCTTCTCATCGTGTGTCCGGCGTGCCTCAGGCTGCAGTGGGCCGAGCAGCTGGAGAGATGGCTGCCCTTCCTACGCCCCTCCCAGATCCACATTGGTAAGCCCCTGCCCTCGCAGCAACCAGGTAAAATTCACGCACACGCAGTACCACTGGGCTGGCGTGGCTGCGTGAGTGCTACCAGCACAGCAGCTGCCCTCTCCTCATTGTGTGTCCGTCGTGCCTCAGGCTGCAGTGGGCCGAGCTGCTGGAGAGGTGGCTGTTCTTCCTATGTCCGTCCCAGATCCAGATCGGTAAGTCTTGCCCAGGTAATAATCACCACTGCAATTGAGCAACACTAGCGAGTTAGGGGTGAGCCTGGTCCACGCGCGCGAGCCTGGTCCACGCACGCAAGCCTGGTCCACACGCACGAGCCTGGTCCCCCGCGCGCGAGCCTTGTCCACACGCACAAGCCTGGTCCCCGCGCGCGAGCCTGTTCCACGCGTGCGAGCCTGGTCCCCGCGCGCGAGCCTGGTCCCCGCGCGCGAGCCTGGTCCCCACGCGCGAGCCTGGTCCACGCGCGCGAGCCTGGTCCCCGCGCGCGAGCCTGGTCCACGCGCGCGAGCCTGGTGCTGCCAGCTGTCCTGCGCTCATCGTGTTTCCACGTGGGTAAATCCCTACCCTTGCAGCGACCAACCTTCTTGATCCTTGCCAAATGTTCGTGCCTCTGCAGTGGTGCCCGCTCGTATCAAGTTTGGAAATTTCCCGAGGGCACTAGCTGTCACTTATGAAACTGTTTACCTCCTTGTCTCTCCTTTGTCTCCTGGCAGTGTTTGGCCAAAGGGACGATTTAGTAGAAGAGGACGAGAGGGCGCCGTTGGGAACTGGCGCCGATGGTCACTCCAACAGTCACACGGGCAAGGCAAGAAAGACCTCGGGTGAGCTGAAGGGGGTTGGAGCACGGCGGAGGTGTGGGATGAGCCCGAAGCCTTCTTATCCCTCGCTTACCGCTCTCAAACCCTCCGCAAGTTCCTGTTCCCCCCTCTGTGGGAGCTCCAGCAGTGGTGATCGTCACGTTCTTCACGATGGCAGGGCGGCTGATCAAAGAATGTTCATGAATCTCACGTCCTGCACCATGGCAGGCAGGCTGAGGCGAACATTGATGAGGAGGCGGGGCAGGTGGGGATTCTCTCATTCCTCTCAACCCCTCTCCATCCTGCTCATCTCTCCCCTGTGCCAGTCCCAGCAGTGGTGATCACGTTCTTCACCATGTCAGGCAGGCTGAGGCGAACGCTGATGAGGATGGGGCATTGTTCCTTACTCTTACCCATCTCAACCCCTCTGCACCATGGCAGCTCCAGCAGTGGTGATCATCACGTTCTTCACCATGGCAGGGAGGCTGAGGCGAACGCTGATGAAGAGGCGAGGGGGGTGGGGCATTGTTCCTTACTTACTCTTACCCATCTCAACCCCTCTGCACCATGGCATCTCCAGCAGTGGTGATCACGTCCTTCACCATGGCGAGGCGAACGCTGATGAGGAGGCGAGGCGGGTGGAACATGCCCAGTCAACCCCACTCAACCCATATCAATCCCGCTGAACCCCTCGCTTCTCGTCCCCTATCACAGCCCCAGCAGTGGTGATCACCTCCTTTACAATGGCAGGGCGACTGAGGAGAACGCTGATGAGGAGGCGAGGCGGGTGAAACATGCCCACTCAACCCCACTCAACCCATATCAACCCCTCTGAACCCCTCGCTTCTCGTCCCCTATCACAGCCCCAGCAGTGGTGATCACCTCCTTTACAATGGCAGGGCGACTGAGGAGAACGCTGATGAGGAGGCGAGGCGGGTGGGGCATGGTTGTGGTGGATGAAGCACACGTGCTGCGCACTGCCAGGAAACCCTATGATTGCCTCGAGGTGAGAGGGATTCTAGGTTTAGAACCTGCGAACATGAAACCTGAGGGGAAGGGCACGAGGGGGGTGGGGCATGGTGGGTGGTGGTGGACGAGGCTCACGTGCTGCGCACTGTCAGGAAGCCCTTCGACTGCTTAGAGGTGAGAGAAAACCATCGGGTGGTGGAATGGGGAAAGGTTTTTGAGAGTATGCATGCATCACACTCGAGTAGTGGTGGAAGTGATGGGGGGGGGGGTGGGTGGGGGGACCAATTTGAATTTCAAGGCCACCCAACAATCATCCTTCCTATCCACCCTCTCTTCCCCACTTCCACCAGCCACGTGCTTAAGATTCGAGTGACGGTGGATGTGACCCGGCGAACCAGCCAGGCGAGCCATCCTTCTCAAAGGCAATTCCTCGCTTTCCGGACAGTTTAATTCAGGACGCATCTTCCCTTACCGCCGTCCCAGTCCCCTCTCCCCTCCCTACCTTCACGTCGTGCTTCAGACTCCAGTGGTAAGTGGATGTGATCCAGCGAACCAAGCGAGCCATCCTGCTTTCCAGCAGTCCCTCACTCTCCAGGCAGTCAACTCAGGACGCATCTTCCCTTACCGCCTTCCCCTGTCCTCCCTCCCCTCCCCACCTCCACTACCACCGCACATCAGACTCGAGTGGTGGTGGATGTGATTCGGCGCACCAAGCGAGCCATCCTGCTCACCGGCACTCCCTCGCTTTCCGGACAGTCAACTCAGGACGCATCTTCCCTTTCCGCCGTCCCTGTCCCCTCTCCCACCCCCACCACCCCTGTGCGTCAGACTCGGGTGGTGGTGGATGTGATTCGACGGACCAAGCGAGCCATCCTGCTCACCGGCACTCCCTCGCTCTCCAGGCACGTTCTCCAATACTTTTTCAGTTGCTGTTTTGCTGCTCCCTTAAGTGCTTATCCACTGTTCTTTCTTTAGCTGTTGCCGTTCTGCCGAAGCCTGCTTTGATTTTAGGAGCTATTGTCAGTCTTTGATCAGTGCTTGTATTGATGGTAGCGCTGGCTTTCTGGCTGCCATTCACAGATTCACCACACCATCTTAACCTTTCCCACTCTCTCTCTCTCGTGTCGTCCTTTCTGCTGGTCCCGCCATCATGTCTCTGCGCCATCATGTCCCTGCGCCATCATGTCTCTGCGCCATCATGTCTCTGCGCCCTCGCAGCTCAAGATGCTTCCTGCTGATTCCCCTCTCAACCCCTTCCTCTCTTCCGCACCTCTCCCCTGTTGCAGGCCCTTTGACATCTTCAATCTCGTCGACAGCCTCTGGCCTGACCTGCTGGGCTGAATTAGTTTTTGAGAATCTGTTTTTTTGGAATTTTCAAAAACCAGATTCTCCTCTACCTTTCATCCGCACCTCTTTCCCATAGCAGGCCCTTTGACATCTTCAATCTGGTCGACAGCCTCTGGCCTGGTCTGCTGGGCACGTCCAAGTACGAGTTTGCGCGCAACTACTGCGACAGGGGGAGGGACAGCAGGGACTTCTCAAGGGGGATTCGACTGCGCGAGCTGCACATTCTGCTCTCACACACCGTCATGGTGAGGAGGGGTTTTCTCAGGTTAAAAGGGGTGCTGTCACACATGATCACGGTGAGCGGGGGTGCTGTCATGGTGAGGAGTCTTCCTTGTTTGAGTTCCCTTCTTGGGCTGGAGCCTGGAACCTACCCCCATGCTTTGCTTTGTAGTCAGGCTGTAAATATAGTCAGGCTTTGTCAGCGTTTGGGTCTTGCATGCGTTTATGTGTGCATGCGTGGACATGCGTGGACGGACATTTCACTGTGCCCTGCTGCAGATCCGCCGCCTCAAGTCTGAGGTGGCACTCCAGCTGCCACCTAAGCGCCGCCAGGTCATCAGGCTGCGGCTGGAGCCGTCTGACGTGGCACTTGCGGTTCAAAGAGTCGCTGAGCTGGCAGGGGGGGGTGCTGTGGCATATACAGACAAGGATACAGATACTGAAGAGGGGGACGATGGGGGAGGAGGGGAGGATGGGCGAGAGGACAATGAGGGGGACGAGGGGGAGGAAGGAGGAGAGGAGGAGGAGGAAGGAGGGGGAGGAGAGGACGAGAAGGAAGAAAGGGAAGAGGGTGAAGGGAAGAAGAGGAGGAACAGGAAAGAAAGGATGAGGCAGCAGAGGGAAACCCCAAGGAGCCACGCAATAGCAGAGGCGTGAGATGTCATACTACCGCACACCCAAGAATGAACAAGGGGAAGCTTCTGATGGGTGGAAAGGCTGTGAGGGAAGGGGAGCGACTGGGCAGTTTGAGTGATGGAGATGGGGGGGTGTTAAGTACTGATCAAGGTGTTTCAAGTGGTGGTGGGGGGGATGTGGGGGTTGGAAGAGGTGGGGGAAGTGACGGAAAGGGGGGTGGAAGCCTAAGAGGTGGAAGAGGTGGGGTAAGGGGTTGTAGAGGGAGGAGGAAACATGGGGGAGTGGAGAGGGAGGGGCGGAGAGGAGGGAAGGTGGTTGTAGGGGGTTTGAGCCCTGAAGAACTTGGACTGGCGAAGATGAGAGGGGTGGAAGAATGGCTGACGCACTGCTCGGTTCTGAGGGGTTGGGAGGGGTGTGAGGAGATCGGAGAAGAAGCGGGAGGCGAGGGAAGTGGAAGAGGAGGGGTTGGAGGCGGAAGGGGGGAGGAGGAGGGGGGGGCAAGCAAGGGGAACAAGAGGAACGAGGGGAAGCAGACGGGGGAAAATGGGCGGATGGTAGAGAAGATGGTGATTTTCGCCCACCACCACGTGGTTATGGACGCCCTACAGGCTGCTGTTTACCGCATCGCTGCAGCCAGCATTCTGAGGCACGCTGAGGAGGGGGAAATTGAGGCTGCAGGGGTTGAGGATGGGGGGAAGGCTGAGGGAAGGGGACCACCTAAGGAGGAGGAAGGAGATGTAGAGGCAGAGGAAGGAGAGGAGGAGATTGCAGGTGGGAGCACAGGGAGGGGGAAAGGAGGAACGGCGGCAACCCTGCCGAGCCTACTTACCCAACCAAGCCTGCCGGACCTGCGAAGCCTGCCAAAGCTGCTATGCAGTTTGAGTTGGTTCGGGTGGACGGGACCACGCCTCCTCTGGAGCGGGCCGAGGCTGTCAAGAGGTTTGCCACCGAGCCTCAGGTCCGGGTGGCGATAGTGGGCGTGACGGCGGGCGGCGTGGGTTTGGACTTTAGTGCGGCGCAGACGATTGTGTTTGCGGAGATCCCAAGGGCGGCAGCGGATCTGCTTCAAGCAGAGGATAGAGCACACAGGAGGGGGCAGAGGTTTCCTGTGAACGTGGTTATTTTTTGTGCTAAGGTGAGGCTGCCTTGCTTTGCTCCCTGCAACTCTAGATTCAACCTTGAATGTGGATGGGGCAATGGTGTTTGCGGAGATCCCGAGTGCGGCAGCGAATCTTCCAAGGTGAGGTTCTTGCGTTGCTCCCTGCCTTGCGTTGCTTCCTGCAACCCTATTTGTAACCTTGATTGTAGATGGGGCGATTGTTTTGGCGGATATCCCGAGTGCGGCAGCGAATCTGCGAAGGTGAGGCTCTTGCTTTGTCTCTTGAGATTAGATTTGTGACGATTGTGTTTGCGGAGATCCCGAGGGCAGCAGCGGATTTTCTGCAGGCAGAGGATAGGGCGTACAGGAGGGGGCAGAGATTCCCTGAGAACGTGGTGGTGTTTTTCTGTGCTTAGGTGAGACTCCCTTGTTTTGTTCCCGAACGAACGAGACTGCGTGGCAGAGGCCGTGCTGCAGTGCAGGAGAGAAGCAGCAGCAGAGAGGGAGGGAGGGAGGGAAGGAAGGACAGGGATGTCGCATTTTGTGCCTTCACACTCCTCTCTTCTCGCTTGTCTTCTTTCCTCCCTCCTCCCTGCCCCCATTAGGACTTATCGAGATGAGACGGCGTGGCAGCGGCTGTGCCGCAGTGCAGAAAGAGTGTCCGCTGCTGTGGATGGGGGGAAGCAGTGGGTGGGCGGGGGGACAGGGATGTCCCTGAATCGCCCTTCTCACTTCGCTCTTCTCACTCCTCTTCCGTCCCTCTGGCCCCCATCCAGGACTCTCGGGATGAGACGGCGTGGCAGAGGCTGTGCCGCAGTGCGGAAAGAGTGACGGCTGCTGTGGATGGGGGGAAGCAGCAAGGGGGAGTGTTAACAGTAGACAGCGTTGTTGACGGTTCTGCTGTGAAAAAGCAGAGGATAGAGAAGGAAACAGATGAACTGGGAGAGGGAGGCAAGTCTGGGTATAAGGAAGCAGAGAAGAGCGCTGGTGGAAAGGAGAGCAAGGAAGCAAACGGCAGGTCAAACAGACCGCAACAGCCAGGCACCTTATTGAACAATCTGCAAAAGGGGCAGGCCAAGGCCCAGCCGGTCATGTGCTTACATGAATGTGACACCGATTGTCCTTGTGGTGGCAGGCCAGTGGGGGAAATCAGTGCTCCCTGTAGCGATGTGGGAGCCAAGTGTGGAGCGATTCACTGTTGTGTGGATGATAAGGGGAAAGAAGGCAGGTTGGAGGAAGAGGGGGAGGAGGAGGCAGATGGGCAGAGATGGGCGCAGATTAAACCAGAGGACCTGCGATTTGAGGTGATTTCGTCTGCACATGCTTTTGTTTCTGTCCAAACTTACTGTCTTCTAAGCTTGCTTTGTTGTTCCCTTGCTTGTGTTCTTCACAGGTCCGTGCGTGCCTTGTGTGCCACCTTGCCTTGCATTCCTTCCTTGCGTTCTCTCCTTCACCAATCCGTCATTGTGTCTGTGCTTGTGATTTCCCTACAAGTCTGGGATTATGCGTTGCACCATGTGGATGGATGTACCATTTTACTTACAATCTGGTGTCATGCCTTGTGGGAAATTTCAATTGGCCAGGTGAGCAATCACACGGGCAGGATTCATCTGTTCTGCAGCCATCCTGACCGTCCGTTCGACCCAGTCCCACTCGAGCAAAACTTCCATCCAGAAGATCTGGACCTCGTTATAAGCACCCCCCTTTGTGCCACGGAAATCAGTAACAAGGAAGGTTCCTCTTCAGCTTCCCCTCAGCTCGTGGACTCAGAGGATCGCATGCCGCCAATCCTACGCCGCCAAGTGGCGCTCCGAGAGGCCGCCAGGTCATTCGTGAGCGAGTGGGGGGCGCTGAAGCCGCAGCACCGGAGGAAGCTTCTTGGAAGGGTCCTGGCGCTTCCTGTAGCAGAGGAGCTGGAGCGAGTGCTGTTCCCCCTCCCCTTCAGTGACGTCATGGTGAGGCTTCAGTGACGTCATGGTGAGCCTTCAGTGACGTCATGGTGAGCCTTCAGTGACGTCATGGTGAGCCTTCAGTGACGTCATGGTGAGCCTTCAGTGACGTCTGAGTGTTGTTTTTCAGAAGAATTTCTTGCAAATCGAGGGGAGTGAGGAAACAGCAGTTGCGCCTTTGGGTATATGCTGGTACGTACGTATTGCACTGTTGTTCCGCCCTGTCTTCCTGTTTGTGGTGCTGGCAGGGTGGTTTCTGAAAGCTCTCGATAGCAAGCATGTTCAGTAGTCTTTCAATCAGTCTTCCTGTGTGTGCTGCTGGCAGGGCATGGCAGGGACGTGCGGCAGCAAGAAGAGGAGGACGACGAGAGGGGATATACTCGCTGCTGCCAGGACGGGGAGAGGGGGGTATCCTTTGAAAGAGTAACCTCAATCCCATTTGCTTCCTGTGTGTGCTGCTGGCAGGGCGTGGCAGGGACGTGCGGCAGCAAGAAAAGTTGGGCGACGAGGGGGGAGATTCTCGCTGCTGCGTTAGGAGAGGAGAGAGGAACATGCATTGAAAGCATCACTTCAGACCCTTTTTCTTCCTGTGTGTGGTTCGGGCAGGGCATGGCAGGGACGTGCGGCAGCAAGAAGAGGTGGGCGACGAGGGGGGATATACTCGCTGCTGCCAAGGAGGGAAAGGGAGTGGGTGGTGGAAGCTCGGGTGGGTCAGGAGGCACAGCAGGAGGGCCATCAGCGAATGGAGGAGTAGGAGGAAGAGGAGGCGGAAGAGGAGTGGTGGTAGAGAGGGAGATGAGGGCGGTGAGGGTGCACGGGCGGGGCACTCGCATGCGCACAGAGTGGCAGCTATGGGGGCGACTGGCTGCTGCGGCTGTGCCAGGAGTAGCAGCAGCAGGAGGTGGAGAAGCAGGAGGAGCAGAAGGAGTGGCAGAAACGGCAGTGGCAGCAGCTACAGCAGGGGAAGCGACAGGCAGAGTGAAAGCAGCAGTTGCAGTTGGAGTAGTGGTGGAGAATGCAGAAGAAGCACAATCAGGGGCAGGGGAAGGAGAAGGGGGGCAGGTGGCGACTGGAGAAACAGCAGCTGGAGGGGCAGGCGCAGAGGCGGGGGCAGGGGCAGGGGCAGGGGCATGGTCAGGCGCAGGGGAAGGGGAAAGGGAAGGGGAAAGGGAAGGGGAAGGGGAAGGGGCAGGCGCTGGGGCAGGGGCAGGGGCAGGGGCAGGGGCAGGGGCAGGGGCAGGGGCAGGGGCAGGGGCAGGGGCAGGGGCAGGGGCAGGGGCAGGGGCAGGGGCAGGGGCAGGGGCAGGGGCAGGGGCAGGGGCAGGGGCAGGGGCAGGGGCAGGGGCAGGCGCAGGGGAAACAGAAGCAGAAGCAGGGTGTGCAAGCTCTGACCACTCGCACGATCCGAAGTCTGAGAGTGTGCCACGTGGCAGCAATCACTGGGTCCCACTCTGCCGCATGTGTGGTCAGATCTGCCGGTGAGCCGCTCGCTTATTAGCATCCCCTTTGTCGCTTTCCTTCAATAAGCCCTTTTATGATGTTAATGATATGGAGCGATCCCCTCAATACAAGGCCAGCAACAAATTATCAAGCTGTCACTCGTATCCGGTGCTTCTTTCCCATTGTCTATCCCTAACCAGGACTCGTGCAGCAAGAGCACCAACAGTACCCCGCCATCTCTTTTGCTCCGACTCCTGCTTCTCCACCTACCTCTCACGCACCTCCCTCTCCTTCCTACGCCAGGTATAATATTCCCTCTGCTTCTCTCCTCCAGTTTTGGTTTGGCATGCACACACTATCTGTGTGCCACACTATCTGTGTGCCACACTATCTGTGTGCCACACTATCTGTGTGCTGACACAGAGACTTCCACCTGATTTCCAGAGATCTCCTCCTCCAGAGACTTCCATCCTTCCTCCGGGTCTTAGCTCTGAGTCTCAACTTTTAACAACATCCCTCCATTCATCCCTCGTTACATTTCTCCCTTCACCTTTCCGCACGTCCCTCTTCCCCGCGTCCCTCCTTCTCACATTCCCCCTCCTACCCGTGGCTTCTGGCCGACCCTCCTTCTACTGTTGTGCTGCCATCACCACCATCACCACCTCAGGAAAAGTCTCCTTGAGAGCAAGGCATGTGCGTGACATGTGCTTTACACCGCCAGATCCCCATCTCTGCCTTCCGTCTCGCCTCAGGAGTTGCTTTGTGACATGTGATTTCACTTTCTTCCCTCCTGTCACATCCCTGCGTCATCAACCCACCCCTCAGCCGCTGTTTGCACTGGAGCGAGGAGTGTATGAACGACACGTGCAATCTTGACACGCTGGTCTCTCTCCCTCCCCAAGCCACCGAGCCCTGTAGTTCCTCCTCTGCGCTGCCACGCCCACCACCTCAGGAGCTATTCGCACTGGAGCGGGGCGTGTGTGTGACGTGCAATCTGGACTGTCACGGCCTGGTCTCAGCCATCAGGGTTTTACCCCCTGCTGACCGCCGCCGGGTAATCCTGCACTGGGCACCCCACTTCGCCAAGTACCCCAAGCTGTGAGTGCGGTTCAGTGAGGTGCAGTGCGGTGCTGCGCTGCACTGTGCGTTGCAGTGTGGTGCTGTGCGGTTCGACGCTCTCGTCTCGACCGGGGGTGCTGCCCCCTGCTGACCGTTGCCGAGTGATTCTGCACTGGGCGCCCCACTTCGCCAAGTACCCCAAGCTGTGAGTGTGGTGCTGCCGGTTCTGTGCGGTGCCATGCTCTCTTATGCTGTTCTGTGTGGTGCTTCCATTTCCCTCCCATTCCCTTCCCCAGGCTGCAGCGGCTGGTGAATGTGCCAACCAACAGAGAGCAATGCATGGCACACAGACCAAAAGTAGCGGTGGCAGAGGATAACCCTCCCTACCGTCCCTCTTTCCACTCCCCAGGCTGCAGCGACTAGTGGATGTGCCAACAGAGGGCAACGCATGGAATGCAGACCACAAAGTAGCGGTGGTAGAGGGCGGGGGCGAGTGTGGAGTGGAGAATCTGCGCACGCTCTGTGTAGCGTGCCACCTGTCACACACTAACCTCCAAAAACGCCAGTGGGCTGAGGAGAGGCGGAGAGCGAGAGCTGCACTGGTGGCTCTTGAGGCGAAGAGGAGAGGGGAGGAGGGGCAAGGGGGAGGGGATGGGGGAGGAGGGGAGGGGAGAGGAGTGGAGGGAGGGGAAAGGGTTCGGAAGAAGGGCGGTGGGAAGAAAAGGGGTGAGGTTGGAGGTTCGGGTGTGGGTAAGGGGGGTGTGAAAGGGAGGAAGAGAAGGAGAGAGGCGGAGGAGGGTGGGGGTGACGGGGAGGGAGGTAAGCTGGTGCAAGGGACAGAAAGGAAGTGCAAGGAAGGAAGGAGAAATCAAGGAAAGCGGGAGATAGAGTTGGTAGCTGACAGTGGGGTGATGAACGAAGGAGAGGAGAGGGAAGACACAGGACTGGTAGGTGGTGACAGGGTCAGAAGCGAAGGTTGGGAGAGGGAAGAGGAGGGACAGGAGGGACAGGAGGGACAGGAGGGACAGATGGAGGCAGACAAAGGGAGAGAGGAAGGGGCGAAGGAGGCAGCAGGATGTTACAGAACTGGAGGAGGGATGGCTGTGTTTGACTGCTTTAAGCGAGAGGAGTGGAAGCGTGGCTTGAAAGGGGTTGACCAGCTGAAACGAGGCGGAGAGTCAATTAAGTCAAAGAAATCAAGGGGTTCAAGAGGGGGAGAGGGAACGCGAGGTGGTGAAGGAGGGAGGAATCGTGCAAATGGAGGGAAGGTTGTGGTGGCAGGCTGCGATGTTTCTGCACTCGACGGGAGGCATGCGTCCACCTGTGGACGCCTTGACAGGCACGGGTCCGCATTCAGGCGCCCTGAGAGGCATGCATTCGCCTGTTGATAAGCCACCAGGCGTAAGTGTGGTGAAGGAAGATGCTGAGATGGATGCATTGCGGAGGCTCTTTCGGCCCGTTGTGAGAGCTGTGTGCTCATCGCACTCCCTCAATCAGGAGGTCCCTCATGCAACGGCTGTGAGAGGCTCGCTCTCGCCTTGCTCTGCAACTGCAGCAATTTCAGAGTTGCCGCAAATTGCGGTCGTGAAGGATATGGTTGATCTGACAGGGCAGGAGGATGATGAGGAGGGCGAGGACGGTGACGAGGGGGAGGATGGTGGATGCAAGGGAGGTTTGGGAAGCAAGGGAGGTTCGGATAGCAAAGGGGGGTTGGAAGGTAAGGGAGGTTCGGGAAGAAAGGGAGGGTCGGCAAGCATTGGAGTGGATGAGGTGCGGAGGGCAGTGTGCAGGGAGGTGAGGCTTGGGGAGGACGTGGATGATGACGTGGCATATGTGGCAGATGTGGCAGATGTGGCAGATGTGGCAGATGTGGCAGATGTGGCAGATGTGGAGGAGGAAGATACTGTTCTACACAAGGAGATGGGAGGAGTAGCACGAGGACATGAGAGCAGGGCCTTAGACTCTTGGGTGGGAGGGAGTTCACGAGAGTGTGGGGACCATGTGGGGTTAAGACGAGAAGCAGCAATAGGCCGGGTTTTCTTCGACACGTATGCACACAACAAGTCAGGTAGTAGGTCGCACCACAAGGGAGGTGACAGGCAGGGGGGGTTGAAAAATGGGAAGGTGAAGGTGAAGGTGCAAGTACAGGGGGGGGCGTTAATGGCTCCAAGGGAGCTTGGTGAAGCTGTGATGTCTGATACAGGTGGGATTGATGTGGTTGGGATTGATGTGGGCGGGCTTGATGCTGGAAGAAAAAGGGGAGGTTGTGATGTTGAGAGACATGGGGAGCCCAAAGCGTTGAAGGTGTCGCAAAAACATGTAACTTCTGACAGAAAGACTGCTGTTTCAGGAGCAGCCAAAAAGCGGAATGTCACTAGGAATGCTGGATTGCAGGCGAGGAAGACAGGTGTTGATCGTGGAGGAAAAATGTCTGACTTGCTTCAAGGTGGGATGAATGCTTGCGAGTCGAATGACTTGGCGTCTGATTTTGCTGTTGAAAGGTCGGGTTTGCATAGAGTTGCTGCCTCTGAGGCAGCACAAGTTGATAGGGCTAACCCTGTGACTGCTGGGCAGGTTAGAGAAGAGCCAAGTTTTGACGGGCTTATGAAGATGTGGAACCATATTGCCAAAATATCAAGAGGATCATATGTTTGAGATGATGCTCCCTCTAACTTCGTCATCTACAGTTGATGTGAAATTCGGTCAGATCGTTTCGAGAGCTTCGAGGCTCTAATATCGATGCAAGAAATTTATGTGGTCGTGTGGTGGCAAGTGGTGGAGGTCGTGGCGACCAGAGGCCAGTTGTTGAGTTTGGCGATATGACGAGTTACATTTAATCGTTTCCGTGCACGCGAAACGAGATCCACAGGTAGCAGCACGTCTGTGCGACCGTGGTAACGAAAGTGACGACGCACGCCAAACGACCGAAAGGGTGCTGTCGTTCAGCTCGGTGTTCCCTGAATCAGAGTGTGGGATTGGCGGTGAAGAGAATAAATAAACAAGAGCCATGGTTTCGAGTATGAATAAACGACAGGCCTAGCGACCAGAGCATGAGGCATTCAGTATGGAGCAGCATAGTTGGTCCTTACCAGCTGTTGTCGAGCAATTTTTTTATCGACAGGATAGGCGTTTCTTGACAGCAACATAGGCGACAGAGGCGTGGTGTGGGTGCGGTTTTAGTTACCATTACAACGACCTGGCATGCTGTTTCCAACAAGAGGTAAAGCGGCTTCTGCAGTATATACCCAGCGGAACGCAGGGCTCAAGTAACGGCAACGGTGGAAAGCACTGCTGGCGGAGGAAAGCTCGACCGGCGGAGGCGGAGGCGGAAGCGGAGGGGGGAGCTTCCGCATCCACCCGTCGTCTCTGCTCCCCTGCGCCGCGCCGCCTTCCGCCTCCCGGGTTTCCCGAGACTCCCAGACCAGTGGCAGAAGCAGCGGCAGAGTCCCGTCGTGCATCAGCCTTGGCAGCGGGAGCAGCAGCAGCAGCAGTTATCGTCTAAGCGGGCGGTTCGGCAGTCAACGCAGTCAACGCAGCAGTCAACGCGGCAGTCAACGCGGTCAACGCGAAGCCATGGACGGAAATTCGTCATCGGAGGAGGAGATGGAAGCCGAGGAATTGGATGATTTCGCGAATGAGATTATAAACGGACCGAGCGCTAAACGGGACAGCGCGACTGCTTATAGCAGAGCTGGTTCTTCTAGCGGAGCGAAAGCCGGGTTCTTTTCGTATTCTTCTGCTGTTGCGAGTCGCGTTACGACGCACGTCAGGCGGCTTAGTCAGGTGCGATTCGGCGGAGGTAAGGATCGGGAGGGGGAATCCGAGGCCACATCAGCTTCCGCCGGAGCCACGTCAGCGGCTTCGACGTCCGCAACTGCCGTTTCTCAGTCAAACTCCGGGGCGAGCAATCTATCCCGGATTTTCCGCCGCGTTTTCCGGCGGCCAATCGGCGCATCCGGCTCCTCGGCTTCCGCTCACGAGATCGAGCTCCCCCCACTTCCTTCCGACATTCCCCCGCAAATCAACGGCGGATACGCGTCCCTGGACGATCCGACGGCTGAGAGCGCGCCGATCGCGTATCTGACGGACGATCTGCTCTTGGAGTGCCTGGCGCGGGCGGACCGGCGCGCTTTGGGGGCGATGCAGCGTGTGTGTCGCACGTGGCGCGGAATCATTCGCACGGACGCGTTCCGCGAATACCGGGAAGCGTTAGGACGGATGGAAAATCACTTAGTGGTGATTAGTAAGGGACAGACCGCGCACTCGAAGGTTCTAATTCAGACATACAATCCGAAGTTAAATTCCTGGTCGTGGGTGGTGTTTCCTAACGAAGCGTTATCTATAGATGATTTCTCCCAGTGTTGTGCTGTATCGAATCGGATTTTCCTGTTCGGAGGCATACTCGCTAAAGGCCGCCCCCCTTTAGTGTACGACGCGTGGACGAACTCTCTCTCCCCTGCTCCGCCGCTGCAAATTCCCCGGTTCAAATTCGTTTGCGGGCAGTGGAAGGGAAAAATATTCGTTGCGGGCGGCGTTCGGCAGCAGCCATTGGAGGAAGGCGAGGAGAAGAAGGACCTCCGGGCAGCTGAAGTTTTCATTCCAGAGGGGCAAGGGCGAATGATAGAAGAAGAAGAGGGGGCGAACGTGGGGGGGAAAGGAGAGAGGGAGGCGGAGGCAGGGGCAGGGGAAGACATAGGGGAGTGGGAGAGAAGAAGGCGGAGAAAAAGAGGGGGTTATTGGGAATTAACCCCTGAAATGAACAGGGTGCGAGTCGGGGCAGTAGGGGGATGTGTAGGGGGGAGATTGCACGTGATTGGTGGAAGCAGGAGCAGTCTTCAATTCAGGTCCGGAGCTGAGGCGCTAAGTTTGGAGGTTTTCCACCCCAGGGCCCGAACCTGGGAGGTCCGGGAGCCGATTCCGAAGCTGGGGGTCGTGCTAGACTCGGCAGTCCTTGGTCGCTACATTTTCATTCTCAGGTATGTCCTCCTGTTGGTATGTGTTTCCACACCAGTGCTGCAGTAAACTTAGCTTTTCACACACCAGTTCCCTCTCTGCTCGTTCTATACTCTTGCAGTTCTTGCAGTCCAATCACTCTCACATACCTACTTTGCTCCTCCCATCGCCATCTCTTCTTCTCACACACGCAGGACAGAACGCGCACTTGGACGCACAAACAAACCAACTAATGTTCTGAAATTGGCCAAACATGGGATTTCCCCGTCTTCTGCGCATATGCATCGAATCTGGAGAGATTTCCTTTGTTCGGTGCAACACCTGCGGCAACGAGTGGAAGGACATGCACAGCATGCCTTATGTCCCCCCCTCTGACCCCATGATACCCCCCGTCATTTCTGCTCAGGTGCATTGAATCTGGACAGATTTCGTTCGTGCGGTATGACACCCGCGGGAACGAGTGGAAGGACATGCACAGCATGCCTTACGTCCCCCCCGCCGACCCCATGGTACTTAGCAAAGTGTCATTTAAGTGTGTTGCCACGCGAACCAGGGTGCTGGTGGTGCAAGTACGAGGCACGTGTGAAGACATGGGTATTCCTTCTTTTGCTGCCAGTGAGCGTGAGGGGAGAAGGGGAGGGGAGGGACGGCGAGGTGGGGGAGAGGGGGCGAGGGGTGGGGGAAGAAGAGGCGAAAGAGGGGCGGGAGAGGCCGGAGAGACGGCAGGAGTGGCGGCAGGAGAGGGTGGGGGGGAAGAGGCAGGAGGGGCAGCAGACGAGACGACAAGAGAGGTAGCAGCAGAAGGAGCAGGAGAGGTAATAGGTGATGAGACAGAGGGGGCAACAGGAGGGGCGACAGAGGGAGCAGGGAGAGGAGCAGCAGCAGGAGCAGGGGCGGAGGCAGGAGAAGGAGCAGGAGAGGTAGCAGGCGATGGGGGGGCAACAGGAGGGGCGACAGAGGGAGCAGCAGGGGCGACAGAAGGAGCAGCAGGGGCGGAGGCAGGAGAAGGAGCACCATGTGGAGCAACAGGAGAGGTAGCAGGCGATGAGACAGGGGGGGCAGCAGGAGGGGCGGCAGAGGGAGCAGGGAGAGGAGCAGCAGCAGGAGCAGGGGCGGAGGCAGGAGAAGGGGCACCAGGTGGAGCAACAGAAGAGGCAGCAGGCGAGGAGGCAGGAGAGGTAGCAGGAGGTAACACCACCAATGAGCCAATAACACCTGAGACTGCGCCTGAGACAGCACCTGAGACTGCACCTGAACCTGAACCTGAGCGTACACCTGATCCCGCACCTGAGCCTGAGCATACACCTGAGTCTACATCTGAGCCTGAGCCAACACGGGAACTGCCTCATGAAGGACGGAGGGAAAGGGGAAGAGGAAGAGGATCAAGAGGAGGGAGAGGGGTAGGGGGCAGGGGAGGTAGAGGCAATGTTGCAGGAGGGAGAGGAGGAGTCGGGGGGAGAGGAGGGAGGGGTGGGGTAGGAGGAGGGAGAGGAGGGAGGGGCCGAGGGGTGGCTGGGGTGGCGGTTGGTACGGTGAGTATGGTGGGGTATAGGTTCGGTGCCCTGGCCCTCATGTACGAACCTGAGGCGGAGGCTCGGGGAGGTTTGGTTTGGCGGCGGCTGCCGGACCTGCCATATGAGACACCTGGTGCCGTATGTGCTATGCTTCGGTGTTGAGGCCGGTTTGTGCACGTGCTGAGAGTGAAGCATACGTTTGGTTTGGTGCGTGGTTAGATGCCTTCTGAGGTACACCTGATTTTTGTGAGAATGCTGGTAGATTTCGTCGTATCGGTAGCTGTGTACCATGTACGGTATGTTGTAGCACTAAGGATGTAAAAAGTTTCAGACAGGTGTATGTTTGCGTTGCACGTCCATATCCTTCAGTTCATGGGATAATGCATGTGTAATATTTGAAAGCAAAGTTAAAACCAGCAGCTACAATAGTGAGCCCCGACCCAGCTTGAAAGAGTGCTGGGAGGAGTTTCTCAAAGAGAGATATCAGGGCGAAAAAGCACTGTTTCAATCATCCAAACTTTTCAGATCGAATTGATGTGATTGGCTATCGCCAAAAATGATAAAAATTTTCGCTCCCGCCAAACCAAAGTCAGCCGTCGCACGTCTACGTGCTGCACTCGCACGAACATTGTAAAGTGATGGGTTGAGTTGAGATGGCGTTCACAGGAAGTTAGCTCAAGCGAAGTAGGCTCAAGAGGCCCAAAAGTGCAGATATTTGCAACCTCGCACACCCACTCCACGTGCCATGCGAATGTGGATACACACCTAGACGAGTTTGAGCGAATTCGCAAACCCAATCAGGTGCATGTAACCCCGTCGACTTCAAGATCGTTCACGACAAGCTTTCGTGAAGCAACCCCAAACACGTGCTTCACAAATATCTGTGCACTGTTGTTGAGCCTACTTCGCTTGAGCTAACTTCCTGTGAACGCCATCTCGCCTGGCCAACTTCAGTTTCAAGCTGGAACTGGGTTCATATCTCTCTTTCACACTTCAGTGGTCACTAGTTTATGTCTAGCTAAGAATAGCTGAAATCCTAGTTGCCCTTCTCATAGGCACGCAATTAGCAACTTAGCTCGAGTGCGTAATGTAGTAAGGCGTGGCCTCTTAGCGTAATGCTATTTTTTTTCATCTCGCGCGAAATTGTTAAACTCCCGTCCATGGCGTATTTGAACCGTGCCTTTACTACCATCGCCGATCACTCGTCGCTTTCGCGCTCGCCTTTCACTACAACCCTCCCATTCCGTCGCCCTCCCCTTCTCACGTTCTTTGGCCCTCTATCTCGATTTCTCTGCTCTCCTCCCTTGGCTCTCACTTTCTCTTCTCTCCTCCCGTCGCTCGCACTGTCGCCGCTCTCCTCTCGTCGCTCTCACTTCCTCTGCTCTCCCGTCGCTCTCACTTCCTCTGCTCTCCCGTCGCTCTCACTTCCTCTGCTCTCCCGTCGCTCTCACTTCCTCTGCTCTCCTCCCGTCCCTCTCATTCTCTCCGCTCTCCTCCCGCCCCTGCCATCATTTCCCTTCTCGTCAAGTCGCCCTCGTCCTTTCCCGTCCAGTCCAGTCGCCCTTGTCCTTTCCCTTCCCATCCCTTGTCCTTTCTCTCATTGCTCCCTTCCTGTCGCTCTTTCTCTCGTCGCTCCCTTCCCGTCGCTCTCTCTCTCGCCGCTCCCTTCTGGCCGCCCTCGATGCACGCGTCCTCTCACACCCCCCATCCCCCACCCCATCGCCTTCCCGCTCGCCACGAAACGCCCTCCCATCCCCCACCCACATCCCCCACCCACTTCCGTCCCGTCCCGTCGCCCTCGTGCCTTTTCTCCCTCCCGCTCGCTCCCGCGCTTTCGCACTCGCCCATCCCATGCCTTCCCGTCGCCCTCGTGATCTCCCTTCCCGTCGCCTTCGCGCTCGCCCTGAAACGCCCAATCGCGCCCTGCCTCTCTCCCTCCCATCACCCATCTCGCCGGCCTCGAGCTCGCCACGGAATGCCCTCTCATTTTTTTTTCATCTCTCACCTCCCATCCCGTCGCCCTCCTCACGTTTTCCGTCGTCCCGTCGCCTACATGTGCCCCGCTTAATCCCGCCCCCTTCGTGTCCCCGCTCGTCCCGTCACCCTCATTTTCCCCCCTTCTTCCCGTCCTTCTCGTTTCCGCTCTCGCCCCGTCGCCCTCGTGCTCTTCCCTCTCGTCCCTTCCCATCACCTTGGAACTCTACGTTTTTTCCCGTGTATGTTTTTTTCCCATGGCAGTTGTTCTGTGTGAATTGCACATGCTACCTCTCGATGTGAAATTGTGTCTCTTGCACAATGAGAATTGCATGTCGCAACAATGCGACACATTTGCACATGCTTGCGATGCCCACGGTATGGAAATTGAAATGACAGACGGGGGAAAAAAAAAATCACAAGTCAGCACTTCAACTTATCAAAACAACACAAAGCATGTTTCTAGTGGACCCAACGTGAAGGGGGGGTCACTATTTGCCTACGGGTTTAAAAAAAGTATTGATATTTGTTTGTCTAATTTATTTTCAGCTCTCGTAGCTCAGTTGGTTAGAGCGTATGGCTGTTAACCATAAGGTCGATGGTTCAAGCCCACCTGGGAGCGATATGTGGAATTTTAATACCAACGCCAGATCACGTTTTTGTATGTTTCCCCACTTCCAGTGCCCTTTCTGCTGAACTTAAGGAAACACATGGCATGCTACTTGTCAAGGAAACTGCATAATGTAAGTAAGCCCACATTGAGTTTGATGAATGCACGTGGATTCTATGGATTAAAACAGGCGCATTCCTGTTAGGAAGGTAGGTGTGGACGAAAAGAGGAAAAGAGAAAGAGAGGAAAGAGAAATTAAAGGGATAAAGAAAAGGAAAGGGAAAGTAACGCTGCCAAAAGACCCCAAGGAACAACACATAGGGAACCCCATCAAGACTCCTCAAATTCGCCCTCCATTGCTTATGAGAGACCCTCTAAAGGTATGGTGTTTGCCTGAACATAATTTGATCTCTATATATCTCTGTTATTAAGAGTGGTTTGCTAGCAGGCGATGAAGTGCTTACAGACGGTCTATCCACTTCCTGCCAAAAATCTTGTGCACGTGCCCTTTCTGCCCCCAAACCAGGAAAGATATTCGTTCTGACCCTATCCGGGACAAAATTCCCTGGTTTACCGCAGCAAAATCATGACAAGCTATTGCTGGCCACAAATCGGAGATGGAAAACTTTGATGAGCTCACTGAATTTCCGTTCCGGGTGAATCTTTTTGCGGCTTGAAATCTTCCCTCACCCCAGCAAGCGGGAAAGCTTTGCCGCTTACTTTCTTAGTCCCCCTCTCTTCGTCAGAAGCTGCCCGAACTCGGCAGGCCGCAAATCGCATTCGCGAAAGAAGGGGTTTGGGAGAGAGCGAAGTTGACGCGGTATGACATGGCGGAAATCTGTGGCTCGGCTCGCCATCCGCGACTCGTCTGTCATGCGGGGCTGAGAAGACGAAAGCGATTCGACGGGGCTGAGAATGTGAGTGTGAGAAGTGTATGCTCTCGAAACACATTCGAGGGGCGAATTCGGGGTGAATTCACAACACATGCCACCCTCATACCCTTCTATGCGCCATACCCTTCTGCCCAACTAACAAGCAATCCTCATTCGTTCACCACTATTCCTCATGTACCCATGCACAGCTTGGCGACTGGATAGCCATAGGAGAACCCCAAAGCGCGTCGTCACATGTGTGTGATTCTGCCATGCATGACCATCCTCTCTCACACTCTTCCTCCGAATTTCCCAAAGTGGTCATCCTTTGAATGCCACGACCACCTCATTATCTCGAATTTGGGAACATCGTCAGGACGCCCCAGGGCGTTTGCAGTGACTGCGGGACTAGAGAACTCCGGCACGCATAGTTGCGTGCACTCGCGTCGGAGCTAGTTGCGACGCGAGTAAGCTTCCCATGACTGCGAATCCAGTCTCGGCCCCAGGATTCGTCGGCGCGACCCGGCGGCGAGATACATTTGAAAGCACGATAGAGCTCCCGTAGACCCTCACTTCGTTAGCACTTGTCGCAGAGTGGCCCACGCGATAACTGCATGAGCTGTCGCGCACTGTCGCATATGAGGTCTCACTCGAATTGCGCCCCCATGCGACGACCCACATCATGCCGTTTACCGTCGCAAATCCACCCACCGCCCTAGATAAACGTCGCAAGCCACTTTCGACATACATCAATCTATTCTCCCTGCCTTTGGCGTGACGACGTTTGAAAACTGGCAAGCTTTCCCAAGGGGCTAATTCCTAGACATCATCACCAGGCCGCTTCTGGTAGTAAGCTAGACGAAACTAGTCCTAGATTGGGTAACTTCTGACATTACACCTCACCTAAAGGCCATTACTACTGAGTAGTAGCAAGATTAGTATCAGTTTGATGCGCTTCTGGGCGCACCAGCCCCTCAAGTGGCATCCTCTGAAGCCTCGCGTCGTTGCAAAGCTGCTGCATTTCCCAAGAATTTCCATCAGGCTGCTTTCCAATCGGTAGTTTGAACTCACGTTTCCTCTGCTGTTTCTTTGTAACGAGCGTTTTCACGTTTGTTACGACCCCGCGCGACGTAACACGAGCGAGGCAGGATGAACGGCTGGTTCACGCCGAACCTCGGCTCCTCGCCGTCGTCCCCCGGACTAGCGAGACTCGCATCTTCCACCAGCGATGGCGACTTGTAAGCCCAACTCGAGTTTCCTTTTCGCGCCTTCCTCGGTTTTCCATTGTCAGCCGCATATAGGAATCCAAGCCCGGACTTGGATTTGAAAGTGTTTTCACTTAAATTCTGTCAACTTCTTACCTTTCTTCTCTCCATGCGTTGCCAACTCGTAGCTTCGTGCTGTTTCACGAATGAGCTATTTCGCGAGCTGATATTTGAGAGCGAAGAGCAATGTTCGTGAAATGGCAGCTCATGCACGCATCTCTCCGTTGCGTCTTATTATCACCCCCTCTTTGATTCGACCCGTTAGATGCTTCTTCTGGCAGCGGTGTCTCAAGCGTAGACCCGTTAGATGCTTCTTCTGGCAGTGGTACCTCAAGCGTAGACCCGTTAGATGCTTCTTCTGGTAGCGGTGACTCAAGCGTATACCTTTCTGTTGCGTCTCACTCTCCCCCTCCCCCTCGCCACGCCTGGGTTCCCAACCCCTCCGTCTGCGACAGTTACTTGGCGGACTTAATCGCTGAGCGAAAGAAACTGACTCCTTTCAAGCTCGTTCTACCGCACTGCTCCCGTCTCTTGGAGGAAGGTACGCAGAAGCAAAATGCCATTTAGCATTGCTGGAATAGCCTGGATTCTTGGTAGAGTTGAGTGTTTTATTCCCTTTCAAGTGATTCATTGTTTATGATAAATGTTGTTTTCTCGCAGAGATTGCGCGGCTGACTTCGCTCAACTGTTCCTCCTCTGCCACGGACAACGACAGCATATCAAACCCTGAGCAACTGTTACCCGACCAGCTCACTTCGCCAAAGTCGCAGAATGGGCATTCGCCTACTCCCTCGCCTTTCGATGGGGGCACATGGTCGCCACTCCCAAACGAGATCGAGGTGCGCGAAAGAGTATCAGCACATTATATAACACCCATCGCTTCATATAGTGTACCGATTTTAGCACCTGTGAATAAGTATCCCCGAAAGCCGCCTTTTCTTTGTCCAAATTAACACCCTCTCCCGCTCCCCCACTCCCCTTTCCCCCTCTCTCGTCCCCCTCACAGCCCTCGTTTTCCCCACTGGTGATGCTCCCGCCGCCCCCGCCAATCCCTCAGTCCCTTCCGCCGCTCCCGAGCTGGAGCCCTCCGCCGGCACCCGGGGGAGGCGCAGGGGGAATGGGGGCGGGAGGCGCAGGCAGAACAGGGAACGGAATGGGGGGCGGAATGGGGGGCGGGATTGGGGGCGGGATGGGAGGGGGAATGGGCGGCGGAATGGGTGGCGGAATGGGTGGCGGAATGGGGGGCGGAATGGGGGGAGGAGGCGGAGTTGCGCCGATAGTGAAGAAGATGCAGCGCGTGAACGTCCCCGTGGACCGTTTCCCCGCGTACAACTTCGTGGGGCGCCTGCTGGGGCCGCGCGGAAACTCCCTGAAGCGCGTGGAGGCGCAAACGGGCTGTCGCGTGCTGATCCGCGGACGAGGATCGATCAAGGACCCGTGCAGGGTATGTACAGCAGGGAGATTTGATGGTTTTTGAGATGCCCTAGAAGCCCGGGCAAGGTACGTGTGCAGGAACGGAGGATGAGTGTTTGAGATGGATCAAAAGCACATGCAGTGTTTTGAGACGTCTCAAAACACTTCTTCAGTCAGAAGCACATGCAGGGTGCGCGTGCGGAGAGAAGTCTAGTTTTGAGGCGCCTCAAAACTAGACTTCTCTCACGCGGATTACATGCAGGGTGCGCGTGCGGAGAGAGAGATGCGTTGACTGAAAGTTCCGTCGGAGGGCGAGGATGGGTGATGTTGCGGCGCACGGTACGTGGGGAGCAAGGGGGAGGGGATGGGGGGAAGCTGCACAAAGGCCGCGTTGCGGAGAGAAGAGGGAGGGCGGTGGCTGGGATAGGAGAAGATCCCGAGGGAGGAAAACCGAGAGATGCTATCAAGAGAAGGGGGTGAGCTGCGGATGTGACTGAGAATGTGACGGAGAGCTGGGGATGTGACTGAGAATGTGACGGAGGGCTGGGGATGTGACCGAGAATGTGACGGAGGAAATTAATCAACTTTGTGAAAAATGGTTTCCCGCTGGGCTTATAGCCTTCGGCTATGTGTTCCTTGGCCTTGCGCCCAGACGTTCTTTTCTCGCGTTGCCGTACTTATTAAATTACCTGTTTCGTGTTGCCCCCCTGCACCACACCACAGGAAGAGCGCCTACGTGGCAAGCCTGGCTACGAGCACCTCTTCGACCCTCTCCACGTGGTCGTCGTCGCGGAGTTACCGGCGGATATTGTGGACATGCAGCTGGGGGAGGCGTGCGAAATAGTGCACGAGCTGCTGAAACCCGTGGTACGTAATAATGGAAGAACGATGGAGCTAAATTTAGACATCAAACCCACAGCTCGACATTTGTGGGTTCCGCTGAAAACAAGCTGTCTAGTAATGCAAGGAGGATGGATCTTGTTTCGTGGGTGGAAAGTTGGATCTGCTTTTTTCGCGCCAAACGCGGCGAAGGGCGAATTATTGTCAATTCGCAAGCCTTCTGGTTCGGCAAATCCGAACCTTTGACACGACGGATTCTTGTCTCGCATATTCAAGTTACAAATGTGGCTGATCGTCAACTTTTCGTCCCCCACTTCAGGACGACTCTTACGACTTGCTGAAGCGGGCACAACTTCGCGAGCTGGCAGTGCTGAATGGGATGCCCGAACCTGGCCCAGGCGGGTGGCGAGCGGGACCTGGTTACCCGCCTCGCTCATCCCCGTTTTCAGATACAGCTTCCTCTGGTCTTAAAGGAGTCTGCCATTAGTGCGGTGGCGCTACACTAGGGAAAATTAAGCTTAAGTCATGGATTCCATGACCATCCTTTTAGTGTATTTATTCAGCTTTGTCAAATAGGATGCAAGGCGCAACAACTTCTTCTCTGATTTTGGGGATAGTATGTGTGCTAATAACTGTCATTTATTGCAATATTGGTCAATATAGCTATTTATTTCACCTTCAAAGAATTGTTGGAAACAGTAAATCTTAAGCGCCTCTGTCGTGTCGAAACATCGCACCAGAAGCGAAGCGAACCATATTGAGGCACACGCGAGTCAACCCTCGGAGGTTGAAAGAGGTTGCTGGAGGTTACGCGAAAGTCAAAGGTCAGCGACCTTTGACCTGACAAATACAGCGCGACAGCAAGGACACACAACTGACTCGCTACAGAGCGGTTGCCCGAGTCGTCACTGTATCGAACCGCAACAGCAACAGTAAAGTAGTTATAACTGTATCTCTTCATATTCCTTGTACTCTTATATAAATGCTTGTATCTCTTTGTTTTAATCAACTTACTTTGCCCTCACACACTAGCGCAAGGTGGTTCACAACTCTTCATTAACGCTTCCGCTATTACAATTGTCCTACCCCGAATTTACTCCTGTAAAGATCCTAAGGGCTTTTCTCAGCCCAACATGGTATGAGAGCTATCAGGGGAAATTCGACTACTATCAAGTCATCAACAGACAACATGGCAACATACAAGGAAAGGAGTTCCTCTAATGGTTCTCCCGGGACTACTCCCACCCCACCTCCTGCCTCTGGACTACAGACAGAGGAAGGAACCGCAACGGGACCAGCAGCGCCTTCAGCCAGCCAGCCTGCCAGCTTCGACCAGAGTATGATGGAGAAGTTTTTCTCCTTCATGTCGTTCTACGAGCAACACCAGCAGTCGGCACCTGCGCAGTCAAACAACAGCAACAACAACAACGTGACTCCAATGAGTCTCGACGGCTCATCATATGCGCGCGGAAACCAGCAACAACCTACCTTTGCTCCGTATGAACGCGGGTCCATCAGCTTCATGCCGCACCCGCAAGCTCCACCTGGACAAGAAAAACCACTGGATGCACTACAAGTTCAGTCGCAATTCGCGCACGTCTTGAAGCTGCAGACGTCAAGGCCCTTCGACGGAAAAGACTTCTTTACCTGGTCGTTCGAGTTCGAACTCATGATGGAAGGCGCACAGATACTTGGCTTCTTCGACGGGTCTGTGCCATACCCAACAAACGGCACACAGTATGAGAAGCAGCAGTACACATATCAATCGATGATGGCATATACGATCCTACTGAGAAACATCACCCCAACTCAGCAGCAGAACATACGGTCTTACCGGGGATTCGGCAACTCCGCGGAACTCGCGTACAAGCACCTGAAGGACCTGTATCAAGCAACAGACAGCGTCAACCAAAGTCGGTTAATGGCGCAATTGACAACAGTCGAAATGAAACCTGGCGAGAAAGGAATGGCATATATCAGCCGATGTCGCGAACTGCGCGACAAGCTTCTTCGATGCGGAGGGTCAATCTCTGAAGACGCCTTCGTGACAGTCATCATCGGCGGCCTCGGTCCTCAATGGCGCGCAACAAAAGCCATTCTCCGAGCACATGGAAGAATCTCCGAAGCAGAGCTCAGCGCCGAAATCCATGCCGAACAGCAAGATATGGACCTGCAAGAAGAACGACATAAAAGGAAGACATTAGTACCAGAATTTGCATTCCACACTCAACGGCGCTACAACAACAATAATCGACAGCAACAGCCAAAGCCCGTACCTCCCTTCTGCCACATCTGCAAGACTTCAGGACACCCGCGCACGCACTGCCCGAATCGACAACAGTCAATGCTTCCACAACGCCAACTTCGTCCTTCAAGCAGCCAGGTTACTTCAACGCAAGTGAATTCCACGACCCAGGCTCAAGCTTCAACGACACCAACAAGACAACCTGCACAAGGAACAAGAAACATCGTCAGCTGCATGGCAAGATTGACCGACTCCTGCGTCACTGAATCACCACCACACTACTCACCGGAAGAACAGCTCGACAACAGCACACCTCGCCGCGAGTCACTTCAACCGAACCCGACATACGCCGCCATCGCCCAGAGTGAGCCATCCGGGAAGGACACATGGTTCTTGGACAGTTGCTGCGGACAGCACATGTGTTCTTCAGGACGCTTCGTACAACGGGAATACCAACTCCAACGTGAAGTAGTCATCACCGTCGCCAACAACCAGAACCTGCACACACGACGGCAAGGCGTAGTTCAACTTCAGTCAAGGGAAACAAACGTTATACTGCAAATGTCAAAGGTACTAATCGCGGAGGGACTCGGCTACAACTTACTGAGCGTCAGTCAGCTGATGGCGAAAGGCATTCACCTCGAAGCAGACAGCACCACCCAAGAATTCAAGCTGTATCACGGGAGAGGAGGACTTTACATCGGCAAGGCGGTCCTCAAAAACAATGTCTTCGTCCTCGACTTCGTCCCTGACCTCGGCACCGCCGACAGCGACGCCATCGTCAACTTCACCAACTGGACACACCCTCCGGATCTTGATCCAGACTTGAGTCCTGGCGGCTTCTGGTATTCCCACACCATTCCTGAGACAGAAAGAACAAGAGCATTAGCGACAATCCAAACATCAGCAGCAGCAGAGACAACATCGGCAGCAGCAGGAACAACATCAGCAGCAGGAACAACATCGACAGCAGCAGAGACAACAACGGCAACAGTAGGAACTGTCAGAATCACTAGGCAAGAATGGATGAACTAGCAGAAGTTTGGGTACAAATATGAAACCCTAGTTGGGGTTGTACCCCATATTGGCTACCCCACTACAGCCTACAAGCATAATACAGTTTAACACACCCCCATAGGCAAAGTGGGGGAGAACAAAGGGTCACAAGACCAGTCCAGCAAAGCAAAGCAAAGCCCAGGGTGGATCACAACGTCACCACACTCCGAGCACAAGTAAAGGCCACAAGGCCAGTTCACATGCAGTGCTAGATATAGTACAAGACAAGCAACACAGTGATCAAAACCTAGCAAGCAAGCAACAAGATATATATAAAGTACAGTACAAAGAATGTCAAGCAGTGAGCAAGTGAGGAAACGTGGACACAAGGCCTAAAGAAGTACAGTGCCGTTGATGATCACTAGGCGGGAGCGCCTTGGTGAAGATATCAGCAGTGTTGGCCTTCGAGTCCACGTACACAAGCCGAAGCTGACCGCGCTGCTGAAGCTCTCGAGCAAGAAAGTAGCGAAGAGCAATGTGCTTCGTCCTATGCTCCAGTCTGTGCTCCTGACACAAGGCAAGAGCCGCCTTGTTGTCACCGTACAGAACTGGAGGAGAACTAGGCCGCTCTCCCAAGTCAGTCAGCAGGTAGGTGAGCCAGCGTAACTCCTGTGCAGCCATGGCTGTGGCGTAGATCTCAGCCTCACAACTAGAGCCGAGAACAGAGGAAGAGTGGGTGGACCGCCACGAGACAGAACCAGAGCCAAGGCTGAAGGTGTAACCCTGTGACGACCGCTGCGTAGCCAGGTCGTCCACCCAAGAAGCGTCCGAGTGACCAGTGAGGACAACTCTGTCGTGTCCTCCAAGCACCAGCCCCATGCCTGATGTACTGCACAAGTAACGCAGCACCCTCTTAGCCGCCTCCCAGTGCTCTCGCCTGTGTCTCCCAGGCGCAACGTAACGAGCAAGGATGCTAAGAGGGTACGCGAGGTCAGGTCGCGTGCAAGTCATCAGGTACATGAGGCAGCCTACAAGCTCTGGGTACGGGCCACTCGGCTCTACGGACTCGTCCGAAGGTGGAGCTGAGAGCGAGTGGCTGGTAGCCAGAGGTGTGGCCTGTGGTGAGGAGAACTGGAAGCCGAAGCGCTGAAGGACCTGCTGCACCATGTGTGACTGAGTCAGGGTGATGGTGCGGCGAGCTCTGTCCCGGGTGATCTGCAAGCCAAGGTAGCTACGCAGTTCACCCAGGTCAGTGCAGGTGTGTCTCTTCTGCAGCTCCGACTTCACACGAGCGAGTGCCTCAGTGTCAGCAGTAGCAAAGACCAAGTCGTCGACGTACACAAGAATGTAGAACGGCGGCAGCGACGTGTCTGTGCGCAGAAACAGCGACGGGTCAGCAGTAGACGGCGCGAACCCAAGAGCCGCAAGTGTAGTCCTCAGTGTGTCGTGCCACTCACGTGGCGCCTGGCGGAGACCGTAGACTGGCCGGCGGAGGCTCCACTGGGTACCAGGAGGAAACGACCCAGTAAAGCCAGGTGGGCGGCGCAGCCAGATCTCCTCGTGCAGGCTGCCCTGCAGGAACGCTGTGCTGAAGTCAAGAGAGTGAAGCTCGTAGTCACGCTGAGCAGCAACGTGCAGCAGAACCCGAAGAGTGGTCATCTTCGGGGTGGGGGAGAAGGTATGGAAGAAGTCGACCCCCTGACGCTGACTGAAGCCTCTAGCAACGTAACGAGCCTTGAAGACAGGCGGAGAACCTGGCGGCCGCTTCACCCTGAAAATCCACATGCCATCGACGATGTTCGCCCCAGGAGGGGGAACCTCGTCGACGTAGGTGCCTGTGGACTTCCAGGATGCCATCTCTGCGTCCATGGCTGTCTGCCACTGAGAGGAGTAGGGACCCGAGATCGCCTCTGCGTAAGTGCGCGGAGTGGGGATGTCTAGTGCATCCGGGTCTCCCTCAGGGGCAAGCAACCAGGCCACGAGATGAGGTACAGCAGCCGCAAGAGAGTCAAAGTCCTCCTGCCTGTCCTCAAGGACGTCCATGCCAAGAGCACACTCACCCCCGACGAACGGAGGACAGACAGACGCAGACTCTGACTCAGCGACAAGGCTAGCAGCGTAGTCTAGACGACAGGCAGCAGCAAAGTCAACCAACTCAGCGACCAGAGCAGACGCAGCCGAGGACTCAAAGGTGGGGTCAGTGACAACAGTAGCAAGGAGACGCGTGACTGTAGGGTGCTCAGCGC